CCTTGATTTAGGACCATTCTAAAGTCAGTTTGCTCTTTTACAATTTAATAAGAACTGCTCCGTTTAGATTCAGTCAATATTTCCGAAAAAAAAAAGTATTTATCAAGTGAACTGCTTCTAAAGCTGCTTAACCCCCTCGTACAAAAATGGTGCTAACTTCGTTGACTCTGCATCCCCCACGCAATACTGTCATAGGTTCATAAAGGATTATGAACGGCACAAGTCATTCCCACTAATAAGAACGTTAGCTACAAGAAATGTAAAACAAAAAAATTAATTATGGATTCAGTCGAACATCATTTTTTAACATCAGAATATTAAAATATGTATACCCTCCCTCACCCCTTACAACCCCAGCCCTCAATAACTAATCCCTAACCAAAAAGTGTTCAAACTGATCTAAAGCATCCTAAACCTGAAAAAAAAAAGTATTTACTTTTTTTCGTTTCATTGTTAAGAGTGACTAAATCTAGGTATAATCCAATGCTCCTTCATAAATCACTGAACTTTTTTAGATACACCAAGGTTGTTTTTCATATTAAGCAATCACAAGCAGTTTGTCTAAACTAGTCACATCAGACGGCCACATATACTATAAGATAAGATCTTAGGTTTTAATACCGAGCAGGCCGTAATACATTTCCTCATAGATCTAACACTGGTGAACAAAATTAAAATAATTTTTTGTAAAACGCACCCAAAATGCTGGAAATAGCAATCGATGTTTTCTATCACCCACGGTTCTCTAGCAATAAGGCATTTTATTTTCTGCTTATACTCGTAAGTATAAGGATATGTGTGTATGAGTAGTAATAAACACTCGAATAAATGTTAATCTCAGAATGTTGTTGTCGATGTTATACGGCAATATCGGGCTCCTGAAGTATCTCTTAATAATGTCCAGCAATAAGCAGCAAGCAAATTAACACTCCATTTGCCTTGATACCGTTTTTCCATAGCAGATATGCCTTGGTGGAACCGTTCACCATGTTCATCCCTTACTAGAAAACAATCGAGATGAGAATCCAAAAAGTGAATTTTTAGAGACATGTTACATCCCATTTCTCTATAAGCATTAATTAGTTCACTCACAATATCTTTATAATTGTCCGCCTTCACATTGCCTAAAAAATTGCCCTCTTTAATTTTTGCCCGTATCGTCAGTCGTCCCTACAATTGTAGGGCGCGTTTATGGCCTCCTTGATTGTCATACTCCTTTCTCTCCTTCAAAAATTTCTAGATTACACTTGTCCCGTGTCAGCGCCAGCGCTCTCCTATTGTGAAGATATGTTTTCCTTTTAAATTGTAGGAAATTTCAGGCTGATAAAACATGATATAACTTAAAAGCAAGCCCAATTTGATGCAAATAGATGTTTGTGACATAACCTCAAAATAGAGCACTGACATGGAAAAATAGAAAACTATGACAATCAAGGAGGCCATAAAGGCGCCCTACAATTGTAGGGACGACTGACGATACGGGCCTGAGTCTCGGAAATGTTTGTTTTAAATGGAGAAACCCTCTTCCATTTCGATCCACAGCTTTCAAAAAAATTTTCATCAGTCCCAATTTAATATGCAAAAGTGGATACAACACGTTTTTGTGATCAACTAGTGGTTCATGAGGAATGTTTTTGAGACCCGGAGTTAATACCTGACATAGTGGCCACTCCTTCTGTTCATAATGACGATCTCGCGCACGACTGTCCCATTCACAAAGAAAACAATATTTTATTCCTTCATATGAACTGCGTGCGCTATAGGTACAGATGGATATTTATTACCGTTGTGTACCAATACCGCTATTAAACTAAGCTTAGAGGAACCAATGAACAGGCGCCAATCATTTGGATGTACTAACGCCCCAAGCAAATTGTTGACATCGGAGCAATATATCAACTCCCTTTCTTGATGGAAACAGTGTGTGAGGTCTTGTTGTCGTTTTCAGTGAAAAGTAATGTTAACATCACCTTGGAGAAGATTCCATCCTTTTAATCTTGACGCTAAAAGTTCTAACTGGCGTTTTGACAAGTTTAATTCTCGAACTAAGTCATTAAGTTCGACCTGTGTGATCAAATGCGGCGCTGTTGAACATCCTGGAAGGTCAAACGAAGGATCGGAAATTTTTACGCTTTCTGTATGTACCATCACTTTTAAAATCGGTGGATTCGACTTTTTCGTCCAAAGACCAAGATTCTGGTGGAACTGGGACAGAAAGTTCATCACTATGCTTAACGGGCAGCAAAGCTGATGGTAAATAAAATACTTAACAGTATGTTTCGATTTTGGTGCAATACCCTTAACATTTGTGAGGCAAAAATAGCAGTCACTAGTATGGTCTCTCGGTTCTCTCCAAACCATTGGTACCGCAACGGGAATTTTACGATTGTCGCCTCTTAACCAACCTCTTAACAACGTTACACAAGTTTTACAACATATATGAGGGGCCCATAGTTTATCTTGGTCGCCAACTTTAATCCTAAAATAAAGTTCGTATGCTTTCAACACAATGGGGGTAAAAGTACGTTTTTGGGATTTAAAAGTTAGCTCTCCGCACACATAACAGAAACTATTCGCACTATTTAAACAATTTCTAGGCATTGTCCATAAAGCTAGTCTCGATCAGAATAAGCTAAAAACAACACACCGTTTTAACAAAAATTAACAGTACCTAGAATATCTCAGTATTCTTCAACACAGAAAACGTAACTGACTCGGCCGCTATTAGTCTACTAATAAACGCAATAAGCTCTCTAAACGTAGAGCTCGCATATAATAAACAGGAAGAGACATGGCTTAACATTATACATGTGCGTCATCGCATAAACGCCGAGAAATGCAGCAATATAAGATGTTACGTATTGTAATTCATAAAAGTAGATGTTACCGAATAGCTGTGGATGATAGAAAAATTCTGTTTTAAGATTTGATTCAAGGGTCTCAAAATACATAAGATACATCCAAAAATTGTCATGTCACAAATCCTGTGTTTATCAGTGTAATCAGTGATCTTGCTACTTTTTCGTTATAAACTCCCAAGCAACCATACTGAGGTTTTTAAATGTAACTCAGCAAGAAACCACCCTTGAGTACTTGAAAAAGTTTTGCGATCTATGAAAAGGAGATTGAACCCTTACCTGTTCCACAAGATCGGTGAAATGATGTCCTTTTGACAAAGAAAAGCTTAATATAGGCTACTGCACTGCAAAACATATCTCAAATATACACGTTTTATTTAGGAAAGACTGTTATACAGCGATACTGATAGTTGCTTTTCAATCATATATATATATATAAACAGGGTGACTTCGAAGTTGAGTCATTTATTTTAACAGTGAGTAGATCTGATCAAAAGAAATGTTTTTTTTCTTTACCATTTTTCTGGTAAAATTAAAGTAACAAAGTTATAGCCCTTTGGAAGTTTGAGTACCGCCCTGTCTCAATAATAATATCATGTGCTTGTGTTTGGCAACAACGGATATAATCCACCTTATCGGTTCATCGCATCGGAAACAAACAAGCGAAAGAATTTGGAACGAGTTTTTTACAATTATTTCATTCAGTTCAGTTATACATACAGTCAGTGTCAGTCGCGTGAGAATAGTGTCTGTTGCGTGGCTCAAACGAAATAAAAAATGGCACATGTTTATGCGGATCGGTTTCCCAATCGAGTGCAACCAACCCCTCGTGCCTTTGTTAATGTAGTACAACGGGCTCGTGAATCAGGTGACTTAAGACCTCACAGGGGACCTCACGATCAAATACAGGTCCGCACTGAAATCCTTGTCGGGAGGATACTTTATAAAACAAGGTAAACAATTTTTTTTATTTTTTTTTTTATTTTTACACACATATTTTGGTTTATCTTCCTTCTACAATCATTATCTGAAAATTAATGACTCAACTTCAAAGTCACCCTGTATATATATATAGCATATTAATCTAGTTAGTTATCTACTTCTGATACTCATATTATTAAACAAACTAGTGTAAGTGGTGGATTCATATAAGTACAGATTAAGTTTGATAAACTAGGTAGCACCTATACCACTAAGATCGCGTGTCACTTCGCAACACACGAGAGATTCGTATTTAAATCGACGTCGTGACGTCCAAGCTGGACGAAAGCCGCATGCAAATTATTGGGTCGCTAGATCCACGACAGATTATGCTACCTCAATTTTTGCTTCATACGTATAAAGGTCTTTAACCACTGACTCTATCGTATTATACAAATTACTGTAGTAATACTCGTAATAACAGAAAATTCGATGTTCTGAGCCTGAGAAAGATAGGACGTTTCTCTATGTTAGACATGTTCAACGCTTGTCTGTGTCTACTAGAATCTTCTCGGCCTTCCTAGGGGCGTGTCTGCTCAAGCATGCTACCGACCGTTCTCTATATACTCAAGACGTCCAGGCCGGTGTTAATCTGCCGCCTTCCAGTTCCCAACATCGGTTCGGGCCCAATATAAGAGCCTACATGTTTCCAGATCGAATAGCCACCGAGTAACCAGCCACATCGTTGGCTTGTCCGGTGACAGTAGCAGTGGGATAACCTCATTATTATTGTTTCATATCGGAATTAGAACAGAATAATTTATTATCTATGGCGATGGAAGAAAACAAAGAAAAAAACTGTGGTCTCATTAGCTGATTTTTTTTTAAAGAAAGAGAAATGCAGATGAATACAGTCATTTCAAATATCGCTGTGACACCATTGACACTCCTTAGACTATTTCACTTCATTATCATTGATCAATAAAGTTGACTAATGAGAACGCGGCTTTACAAATATCTCACTGCCAAGCATTTTTGCAACATGCTTCATTAGCGCTGTTTACATCTCAGAATCGTGAGCATAGGTCTTCAGACGCCACATAGGTAGGAGTCGGTTTGCATTCAAATTGGCGACTTTGCCAGGATGGTCGCCAGGTCAAGGAGTTTCCATGCACTTTAATAGAATAAACACTGGCTACGCATGCTGGCGATATAAGACATTGGCGCCTTTGTCAACTCATACCCTGGCACTTGGGCTTTACCCTCGAAGTGGCCTAACTATGACAATTTAAGTGTATTAAATTGAAGAGTCAGAAATAACGATCACATTGCAGCTTTATTCGCTATTATCTACACGGAAAATTTCCACAGGGTCAACTTAATTTTCGACGAGATTGCTGACCACAAGCTCTCCGGTAAGAGCGATGTAACAGAAAGCGCCATCTTCAGGGACAGGTTGACTTAAAAGGAACTCATTCGCTTCTAATCCAGTTGGATCTATAATTGGGCTGTTCTCTGCAGCTGTTTTTGCAGCTTCGGCCAGTGGCCTTAGTGTTTTCCAGCTTGGTAAATCAGCAAAGGGGCCTATTGCTCTCAAATCCTGGAGGTACCTGAAACATTTTGAATATCTTTAGATCAGCTATGCTAAGACAAATTTATTACTATGTTATCTCCGCATTAAGCCTCAATTTGTTGTATTCAACACGAACATGATAACCATTTTGTGACCTTTGACGGCGCCTTGCACCTCAGGATCTAATTTTACGCTGCACGCTATAAACGCTCACGTTACGCCCCAAATAGGTAAATAACTATTGTCAAAGACAACTGCCTGTGTATAATTAGTTTCTGTTCATTTTGTTTAGTCCTTTGCGCTCTCTTATTTCTATAGATCACACACTGTACAATGTAGAGCTGCTATACTTTCGTTCATTGTCCGAGAGACCCTAAGCCTAGACAATGCTGAGGAGTATCAAAAAGCACGAAACAGCTATCCTTGGTAGCGGAACATGCTTTTTTCATTCCATTTAGTAGGTAGAGTTAGTGGGTCCATAAATAATGATTTTAAGACAGTTACTTCACACGCCACTGGCGTGTATAGAGCGACTAACGTGTGCGTTACGAATTGATGACAACGTTACGCAGGCAGTGTGAAGTAGTGTTATGGATAACAAAAATTTCCTGAAGTTATATTTTCGTACCCTAGTAAAGCCATTAGGTAGTCATTTCTGATAGCTTTCATGCTGGAACAAGATGAGCCCCCATGGATAGAACACAACATTTGAAACCAGGCTGCAACCCTTGTCCTATCGTTGCCATTCAAAATCATAAACGCATAAGGTTTTGCGATGTATAGCAGCAGTTGAAATTCTTGATCCAGAATCTGTAAAAAAGTATCAAGTGGATATTTAACTGTATAATACTTTCTCAAGTTAGTGTCCTCTCTGCACAATGCGCCAAGAGAAAGGTCTAGAAAAATACAACTGCAAGATATTATCAAAAGATGTATAGCTAAACGCGTACGCCTGCAAAGTTTTCAAAAATATGTGTGATAACACGTCTGGCTACCTCTTCGCTAGAAAGTTTCTCAGTAGCAAGCCTAATAACAGCTTCACTAACAAAACATATCCACAGGGAGTTTCTATTCGACCCTCACCATTGAGATCTCGGAAACTGTAAGAGACACGAAGTTGCTTAAAGGACGGCAAGGTGGCGCATTTAAATAATCAACGAAATAACGCTTATAAGGTTTTGAAATTCAAAGTACTTCCAAAGAGATACGGAAAAAACCGAATTTTCCCAAAATCGTTTTAGTTTTTTCCTGGGTTTATTTGTAGTGGGACTTAAAAATAAATTGCACATTAATTGTCACTTTTTCTCCTCTACTTTATGGCAAGATTAGAATTTCAATATGACGTTTGATCTCTTGTGCACCAGCGTCAACATTATTTTTTCTCATAGATACTATATTCGATTTCTGTAAAAATAAATAGGGTTTTTAATTCTGGTTCCAAAAATGTATAATACGTTGGCAAACCCTAGTTATTTCATTTTATAGGTATGCATTGAATTTATCAGACAGTGACTTGTTTCGTCTACCAGATTTATCCCAAAGTCACTTTTATTCTTTCTCGACTTCATTTGAGATGGGATTCCAAAATAAGTTGCATGTTAACGTTAGCACTTTTCCTTCTCTACAAGGTAGCATAATTAGAATTAGAATATAACGTAGGTAGGACTTGAAACTATCAGATTTCATTTGTTTCATATACCAGACCTCAAATTGAACATAACAGCAGAGTTTGGAAGACAGAAGAAGAAGAGAAATAAATCGAACAGTGAACAATGTACAGAGAAGACATTTTGAACATATGCTATGATTTACCTCTGCTCTTTAGGATTATTACTATTATTACCGTCAATGAAATTTTGATTTTGTGTTCAGGTTTCACCATACCTTTTTATTTCCTTATAATTTTCATCGAATATCAAACTCATGGCCAACTAAGGATACATCATTGAATATAGGACTAAAAAGTCTAATTGAATGTTCAAAATTCCAATATAGCGTCCATATGAAAAAACAAAGTAGGAGCTGGAAGTCGATAGAAGAAATGTGAATTGAGAATCTTGTAGAGGAGAATAAGTAGCATTGACAACATGCAATTTATTTTGAAATTTCGTCTAAAATAAAGTCAGGAAAACATAAAATTGATTTTGAGAGAAATCTGCTATGCGAAACAAAAGACTACCTAATAATGTCAAGACTACCTAGGATTTTTTTTTAAATAACTAATTTGACAATGTCAATGCATAACGTATTATATATTTTTGGAATCAAAACTAAAAACTCTATTATCTGTACAAAAATCCAAAAAATAAAAATTTTGCTGGAGCACAAGAGACGAAACGTCATATTGAAATTCTAGTTGTGTTTTCTTGTAAAGGAAAAAAAATGGCAATGTTAATGTGCATCTATTTTGAAATCCCACAAATAAAGTCAAAAAAAAATTAAAACGGTTTTGGGAAAATTCGGTTTTTTCCGTCTCTCTACTTTGAATTACGAATAAAGTAATCCTATGATTAGTGTCTGAGAATGGGCGGATCAAATTTTCAGATTTGGAAAGAAGTTGAATGTGCACATAAAATCGATTTTTAAATTCCTTAAGAAAGCTATTCAAATGCAGCATGTAGATTCTAGGAGGTCTTTCCGAAATAGCTGGTGCTTCTTCTTTTAATATATAAACCATCTTCAATCGACTATTATTTATGGAAGGTGCTAATACTGCATTAGCGGTTTGGCTGTTAGCAACGGTGCAAGAACTAAACATTAAGCGTTAAATGAAGTAAAAGGTATTCACAGAAGATTACTCAGATCTTAGAAACCCAATAAAGTATCGACTATGGATATCTTTTCGACAAAGTTTATGAAAATAACAGGGATTTCTCTGATAATTATTCAAAAAATTATTAATGGGCATTATTGCAGATGTAGGTCTGACGCTGAAAAACGTTGGATATGACGGAAGCAGACGAAAACAACCAAACTCAAATTAATAGCCATTAAATTACAATACTCTAAAGCTATGTTCACATCAAAGCGCTGTTTCTTCCTCCTCTGACTTCAAAAACAACATGATTTGAATTGACCTTGTAAAGGTCATAATCAAGGACAACTAATGAACCGCGAACTTTCCGTACCCTTGTGAAGCGTGATCTGTCCTCTTGAGTGTTGTTTTTTGTTTCCGAACAGCTCGCGCCAGATCCATTCCAGTATTAACGTATAAAAATAGAGCCCTTAAATTTTCCAAACATGACACCTCCCAACCCTATTATAAAAGGTTTTTGAATGAAATACTTTCTTATGTATAACAATTTTGGTCTGACGGCAATGAGCGCATTCACCATTTTTTCAAACTACCTTCCCCTGTTTCTTAGAAACTAATCATGAGACTGCTTTGGTCCCATGTGAACCTTTGATCAGGAAAGAGAAAAATTGGTCATACCCAATTCTTAGACAAATCGACTAGGACCCATTTTTCACACGTTTTGTACGGGATCCTTTATCACAGACAGTCAATATTGTAGTTGTATTTACGAGTATGTATACCGAAAATCAACAAAAGGTAAACTATTGTATGTGTGAGGGACATGGACGTATGAAGGTAATTCTTGTACTTTCGCTGTGACCCGCCAAAAACTATGTAAAGACCTATACGAGGTCAATATTCCGTAGACTCAAAATAAGGCGGTTGGACATGACTTACCTCTATACAAAAGAACTTGGTTTGTCCGTTATTTCAGACATATTTGAAATCGATAGTCCGCTTTGAATAAAATTTGGAACACATGTGTTTTAATATTTGACTGTTACTCAAAAAAACGAAAGGGCTCGATAAGGGTGACAACTACCCCCACCCCTACATAAAGTATAACTCAATTTTTCGCAACTCCTCCAACGACTCGAATGTTTTTTATTTAAAAGATTATTTCATTCATTTCTTATATACTAAGTGACATATAAATCCGAACACCCAGTTTAAATGGTTTTATTTTAATAAAATTTTGTATAAGTACTTAATAAAGCATAATAAGTAAATGATAAAAATTTCAAAATGATTGCACTGCTTTAAAGCCCTTTGACCTTTAATAATGTGTGGATGCACCCTGATGTGCTACGCATTCTCTAACGCGCCTAGGCATGCTTCTGATCAGGTGGTCAATGTCCTCCTGTGGTATCTCATTCCAGGCAACCACCAACTCCTCTCGAAGTGCTTCTAGAGTCTGAGGAGGACGTTGCAAATTGAGCAATCTCCTACCCATCATATGCCACACGTGCTCAATTGGGGATAAGTCGGGAGATCTTGGTGGCCAACAACAATATGACATCATTATGTTGAAAGAAGTCTATTGTGACTCTTGCAACATGTGGTCAGGCATTATCTTGTTGGAAAGTTGGATCTGCCAGGGTGTCAAGATAGGGTAAAAGATGGGGTTCTAGAACTTCGTGGATACAACGCTGCGCGTTCATGTTACCTCTGATGAAGATTAAAGGTGACCTGGAACCATAAGCTATAGCACCCCAAACCATAACTCCAACAGTGTGATGAACATGTCTTTCAACAAAAAACTGTGGATTCCTCCTTTCATCACGTCTAACCCTGGCACAACCATCGTGCATGCCTAAACAAAATCGAGACTCGTCACTAAAGACAATACTGTTCCATTCCTGATCCCAGAGTGACCGTTGTCTGCACCACTCAAGGCGATTACGTCTGTGTTCTCGAGTTAAAGGGAGGACCCAGTGTGGCCGGTATGAAAACAAGCCAAAACTTCTCATTCGTCGGTAAACACTTCGCATGCCAATAGGTCTTCCGTGTTCTGCAAACCATTTATTTGCAATGGACCTGGTAGTGGAGTCCCTTAAGGCCAATAATCTTAGGCGGCGATCTTCACGGTCTGTTGTTCTACGGCGGCGTCCAGTGCCCCTTGCTCTTTGCGTACGGCCTTCTCGAAGCCATGCCTGACAACACCTAACCACAGTGTCTACACTTCTTTGCACTCTAACTGCAATTGCCCGAAAAGAAAGTCCAGCTTCCCGAAGTCCCACTACACGGCGCCTATCAAACTCACTAAGTTGACGGAATCGTACAGGTCTCCGTACTCTAGGCATCGTAACCGATCGTAAAGGATGTCAAGAACCAAGATAAATACATTCACCTTTTATTAGAATAAAACCATTTAAACTGGGTGTTCGGATATATGTCACTTAGTATAAAAACAGACCATCTCGCATAGTTTTCGAGAAAAAATGTTTTTCAGGGCTAGTTTCTAAAAACCTTTCTCACTACATCAGGTGTTACATTTTTTTGTTAAAACTATCCGAGATGGCCTGTTTCAATAGGGGACAAAACATTAAGTAAATAAAAAGATCTCCTAAATAAAAAAATCACAGACATATTAGAACGACTTGAGAAACATATCAGGTCTTAAATTATCTTAAAAGATGTGTTTTGATAAGAAAACTTTGACCTCTTACCGGCAGACGAAGCACTTTTGCAAAGAGGTAAAACATATCCAATCGACTTGTTTTGAGTCCAAAAATACGTGATGCTTCTATGGCCTCGGAAAATTGGAACACCCTCTATAGTATGAGTCTAACAGCCTTGTATAGTGAATGTAAAAAAAGAACATGTCAAGCACTTGCTTTGACCAACTATTCTATAATTTTGATGGAACGTTGGCGTTCTTTGGCTAATGTAAAGAAAATCAACTGATTAGTGCCACCATCTTCAATAGTATCAGCCAGATGATAATTTAGCCCTAAGAATCCTGGAAAGGACTTTACAAGGAATCTACGAGCGCTAAGTGCTATGACCTTTGCTGACTATTTTTCAACAATTCACAATACTTTGTCCTATAATTTGCCCACCTTGTCCAGTTTGTGGTCTGAACTGCACTCATCCTCCGATGCATGTACACAACACTCAAGCATCTGAAAGTCCTCTGGAAGTCCAGCCAAAGTTTCTTGCCACGTCTTGTCCATTTCCCATTCTGCAGCCTCCACAGGCTCCTTGGGAAGGGTAGAGAGATCTGGAAGGGCTGCGTCTGGAGGGTATTGTCGGAAAACTCCTATGGCTTCATCCAAAAGCAGAGAGGTCGATAGGTAGGCCAAGTATCTGTTGGTAGTGGAACCGCATTTTGCTTTTATCATTAATAATAATAATTTATTTACGCCAATATATGATGAATTAATTTAAATCAACAAATGTATATGTGTGGAAAAAATAAACTAATAAATACTTCGATCATTAAATAAAAATAAATGTTGGTGAACAAAATAAATAACTATGATGTTATACAGCATATGTGGCATTGTGTTTCATTTTTATCATTGTTACAATGTAGTTTCTTTTTCCGTTGAAATGGGTGTATACAGGATGTTTTAAATTAAAAGCTTGACTGTTCTATGTACATTATTCACTGCTCGATTCATCTTTCTTCTTCCAGGGCGTGCAAACTCTGTTGCTATGTTCAATTTGAAGTCTGGTTTGGTATACAAGACAAATTAAATCTGATAATTTCAAGGCCTACCTGGGTAATTATGTTTTTCTGGAATAACCATGCGTTGGCAATGTCAATGTATGACATACTATACATTTTTGAAATCAGTATTAAAAACAATCAGTACTAAAAACTCTATTCATCTGCGCAAAAACTCGATAAAGTTGACGCTGAAGTACAAGAGACGAAGCATCATATTGGAATTCTAATTATGCCATCTTGTAGAAGAGATCCTAATAGGGAGGGTCGAATTTGAAACACCTTGTATATTTTAATATTTTGTGACCTTTGCTGAGATGCTATTGAACAATTGTGGAGGCTGATGCATAAATGATTTCAGCATGATATCTTTCTTTGAGGCAAGTGAAGAAATCTAGGAGTTCTTGTCTCTAGTATTGTAATGATAATTTTTATTTTTATTCAGGGTGTCTGCGAAAGGTTGGGAAATCTCATAACTTGAGGTACTACAGACCAAAATATGTGAGTTGACCTTAACATACCTTCGTAAAAAAGTTAATAATTTGCGAGATACAGGGCGTCAAAGTTACAATTTTATTTTCTATTTCCCGTATTGCTTTAGAAGTATTTCAGATCGTATTTTCTCGTATTTCCACAACAAAAAAGGTTCACTTGTTAGAAGTGTCTGAAGCTAATAGTTTTAGAAATATTTGTTTTTAAAGCATTACATCTTGCCGATCCGAACATTACAACTCATTGTCAACTTAAAATTATTGACGAATTTCAAAGCAATATTATGACAAACATTAGAAACCATAGCAACGCTACTCAGACATTATCCAAAGCAACTTGATTATTATGTTATGAAAATGCCTTGTCATCATGGTACTAATAATGCATTGGAACTTTTAAAAACAAATATCGCGGAAACTATTAGCTTAAGACACTTCTAACAAGTGAACCTTTTTTGTTGAGAAAACACTGGAAAATAATATTTTCTAGCCAGTTGTTGTATACAAGGTAGCACGAAAAAGTTATTATAAGTTATTTACCGAAATGATGCTGTAAGTGGAGCCCTCTAGAAGTTTGGGCATAAAAATAACATATTCTTGTTTCTCATACTAGAAAAGCTGACTATACCGAGTTTTATGCCAAAATCCGGAATACTTCTCAAGCAATAAGGTAAAATAGAAAATAAAATTGTAACTTTGACATCCTGTATCTCGCAAACTATAAACTTTTTATCTGAGGTATGTTCAGCTCAATTCACATATTTTGGTCTGTAGTATCTCCAGTTTCGAGATTTCCCAACCTTTCGCAGACATCCTGTATACAATGTGTTTGGTCACGACATACCGATATGGGGGGTGGGTATTTTTCAGCTATTTTTGTCGACAAATCCACCCCCTCCAATGTCCTACCTCACCCCCCTTGAAATGGATCCATACCGCTGCGAATGAAATTAGGGCTGACACGGATATGGTCTGCCGGTCAACACGACACATGTTTTGAGAACAACAATGTGCATAACCAATAATGGAGGACATTTTGAACAGCTTCTGTAACATTAAACATGACCAAACTCTCTATAAGAAACATTGATTTGTCATTTTTATGTATAGGAAGTTTGAAAATAATTTGCATTTTATTACACCCATTTTGACTCATGTTAGATAGCATTTATTGCTTAACGTAGAATACTTAGGATAGCAAAAAGCTGTAGAATTAGCACAAAAAAAGTACAACTTCACAAACTAGTTTTTGAATGGTGTGTGGAAATGCACAAAATAATAAATTTTCTTCCATATTTTTTTCTGTTTTTGTCTGTTTTTAAGTATGTTTGACGGTTAGTATCAATAATCGCTAGGACAACATGTCATCGTTCAAATGACACGAAATTTATCATTCTGTGACACTTACGTACTCAGTTATTATAATTTTCATACATGCACTACCCTAATCGTAACGTAAAAATAAAAATAGCTGACATTTCAAGAGGGTTGAGGTAGGACATTGTAGGCAGGTGGATCTGTCGATAAAAATAGCTGAAAAATACCCCTTTTAAATATCGATATGTCGTGGCCAAACACATTGTAGATCTATAATAATACTTTTAATATACATATAATTTTTACCTTAAGAGTTTATGGGTTTATTATATATTACTTTCAGGCTAGATTTTTGTGCTTTTTCAACCAACTCTTTCAGCGTCTTATTGACAGATCCCCAAACTGTTGTTTCTCAAGTTATAATATGAAGGAATATGGTTTTTGTGAGAATGCCTTAAGTGGTAGAATTTATACCACAATAATTTTTTTGTTAATACAATAAATATGGACATTCCAACAAAGTCGGCTATCGATTAATGCACTAAGATATTTTATATATATATATACAGGTTGACTTGTAATATCACGTATTCCTGTTAAGGGGTGATAGATTAGGTCAAAAGCAACCGATTTTGTCCTATAATGTCCTATCCAGAAGTTAACCGTTTTTGAGTTATTTGAATTTTATTTTTTTTATTTTTTATTCCGATTTCAGACGGTTGAATTTGAAATACAAAAAAACTACATGCTTGATTTTGAGTTTTTTGTTATCGTCGCATAGCGGACATTCCAATAGTTCATAATAAGTAATAACATGTTGAAAACTTACAAAAGTTTTAAAATTACGCTTTTGAAATGTATGATTTTCTTATTTTTTTACTATCTTAATCGATAAAAATACAATTTTCTGTAAAAATATCTCCTAGTAATAAAATGTGCAAATTATGTAAATAATATCTCTAACAAGCTTTCATTTGAGGTATAAAAGTTACAACTAACTCAAGTGCAAAGACATAAAATTAAAAAAAAGATGAGTAAAGTTGTACGAGCGATAATTACGTAGGATAAATAAAAGGCTTTTATTTTAATTACAGTTTTATTTAATTACATTTCCTTTAGTATTTTACAGATTCTGCTCAAATTGTAATCCCCTGTTACGAATACACGCCCGCATTCTCTTACATAATTCACTTTTGGTAATTCTACTTGTTAAGCGGCTTTTATTTGGTCAGCTGCACTGATTATCCTTGTAATTAATTCATCGTGCGTTGGTACGGGCGAAACATCGTACACCAGGCTTTTCATATGTCCTTACACGTAGTAGTCCATCGGTGTGAGATCTGGGCTTCTTGCTGGCCAGGCAATGGGCCCGTCTCTGCCAACCCATTGATTTGGAAATTTAGAGTCTAAATACGCCCGTACTAATCTACTGTAGTGTGCGGGACAGCCGTCGTGCTGGAACCGCATATTTTGTCTCGTCGCCAATGGGACGTCTTCCATTAATGGAAACGAGTGATTTTTCAAGAACTCTTCATACACTTCTCCATTTAAATTGGCGGGCAGAAAACGAGGTACAATTAAATATCCATCAATGATGCCCGTCCACACATTGACTGAAAACCGGCTCTGAGACCCCGTCGGTCTTATTTTTTGGGGGTTTAAAGCTTCTTTATCAGCCCAGTAATGAGCATTATGGTAGTTAGTGATCCCGTCCTTATCAAACTTCGATTCATCGGTCCACAGAATTTTCTTAAAATAGTCTGGATCTTCTGTATCTGCATGTAACATGTACCTGCAGAAATCTAATTGTCTTGCATTATCGCCCTCTGCAATCACATGCACAGGCGTGTAGTGATAAGGGTATAATCTTGCAGTATTCACAGTAAACCATACTTTGAATTGTGATATACCCAACTGAGCAGCCACAATGCGCGTAGACGTAGTAGGGTCTTCCTGCAAAAACACACGAAGGATTTCCTCTTCATCTTCAGGAGGATAGACTCGGGGTCGACCAGCATCACTATGTTGCCTTTGAACACGTCCGGTTTGGCGGATGCGCCGATACAGAGAGTCAAACACAGTAACATGAGGTGTTCGGCGATTCGGGAAACGTTGCCGATATTCACATCGGGCAGCTGCAGAATCGCCGTTACAAAGTCCATAACAGAACATTATGTCTGCGTATTCTTCATTTGTAAAAGTTTGCACGTGCCCGCTATTGCGAGGTCCTGGCGGATCTTCTGCGTCTGCCATGATGATAAAGAAACCACTCGAAATGAACTGGGAAACTCGAAAATAATAATCGTGTGTAAAACGTGTGCGCGTACGCAGTAGTTGATACCAACTAAACCTAATTCTCACTCGGCGTGCGGCGATGGCGTAACTACAATGATGAATAATAACAGCTCTCTCTCTCACTCCTCCACTAAGTCAGCTCTTCTCGCTCGCTTCCTCGTCGAGCCGATGCCATAAAACAATCATGGCATGCGAGTGCTTTGAGGACAGTAACGACTTGTTCAAACAGGTAATACAAATTCCTTAAAAATCCAGCCTCTGTGGGTGTCATTGTTGTTTCTCTGCATGTACTTCAGAGAATTGAACGCTTAATACCTCAAATGAAAGCTTGTTAGATAGAGATATTATTTACATAATTCGCACATTTCATTACTAGATTTTTTACAGAAAGAATAAGTTGATGATACATTTAAAAAGCGTAATTTTAAAACGTTTGTAGCTTTTCAACATTTTATTTCTTATTATGAACTATTGGAATGTCTGCTATGCGACGATAACAAAAAACTCAAAATTAAGCATGAGGTTTTTTTGTTTTTCAATTTTAACCGTCTGAAATCGGAATAAAAAATAAAAAACTTAAAATTGAAATAACTCAAAAATGGTTAACTTTTGGATAAGACATGATAGGACAAAATCGGTTGCTTCTGACCTAGTCTATCACCCCTTAACGGAATACGTGACATTACAAGTCACCCTGTATATATCAAACCATTTTATTATATGAAATCTGTTTATGCCGTCTTCTTTAGTCCGGCCCAATTTTCTGCTTCTTAAATTATTACTAAATCGTAAGCGAAACCTAATATGCAGCCTTTAGTGCTCAATTACAATTACAAAACAATATTGCAATAACTTTGCTGAATATGTCGTTTACTTTAACGGACTGTTCTTGATTCGCAAATAATGGTGAAATATTTTCATAACATCACCTTTGATGTCAACTTTGGAACAAGGTAATTGATAACAAGCTATGATCGATACTGACCAACGCTTTTTTATTTTCCCCAAAAGCAACTAGGAAACTAGAATAAGGTAACCTCGCTGTAGCTAGCAGCACATGAAGGGCACATAGAAAATGAGTATTCAGATGAGCTAGCCTGCTCTAGCAAGCATCCCAGAAACACACGACATCTTTTACCTGCGGAGGGTCCGATCCGAATTCAGCAGCGCCGACAGTACCCCAGCCTCAGCGTTATCAGTTATTGAGGTCGCCGACGACGCGCGATCATGTAGATCATACGAAATTTGTTCAGGTATTATGTACTATGTATAGTCAGAGCAAATTATTTCAAGAAAAGTTACCAGAATATGTAAAGGTTGACTTAGATACTATAGATTTTGCATATTCAAATTCAATTTGTCCAGAATTGCGTGATAGGTACACAGTAAACCTACTTGATGACATTTTTTTTAGATTCAACTGAAAAACCATGAATGTCATAGTGAATCTAACAAAACGTTCAAATGGCATCATCAATGCACTTAGAACAGCATTTGGAGGTAGGGTAAGTTTTGGGCCTTGAATGTTTGGGATGGATCCACCTCTATCGGTATTTAGTATAATTAGAAAAGCCCTAGTCACTTCTGTGGATGTTTCCTCGATATGTGTTATCATAATGACAATGTAATTGTAAGGAAAAAACGATTACCTATTTCTTTTTTCTCTGAGCTTCGAACTGTGATATTCAGGCCTGAATAGCTTTCTAACCCATGGCATAATAAGCTTTCTGTCACTTTCATGGGTCAAAGTAGGGCCCACCACTCGTAGAACTGAACTGTAGTAGAGAAACTCCGTATTCAAAGGATCTTGGCCTGACCTAAAATGAGACAAATTATAAAATACAGATCACAATGAGAATACGAAATATCGCTTTACCTAGGAGGGGGCGGTGCAGCAGATCCTTCAGTGCTGAAATAAATGAAAATGGCAAGTCAAATAATTGTGTACATTAAACACAAATAGCTAAAAAGGAAAACATATGGGTTGCGCCTTTAGTGTCTCTATTGAAACATCTGCTTCTTGATAGCACCATCCATGAATACAAAACCACGATTATAAACTTTACATTTAGCCATAGAATAACTCCATAAACATATTCCCCAAGCAATCTCATAAACCTTAACTCATACGTCATATATTCAGCAGAGTTGCAGGTCATCATGACTTGGCCAGAAAGGCTCAGTTAAACGTTCGATTCATTATATTATTGTAATTTTAAGGCTACGTGAACTCTCAATAAAATCAAAAGTTTTAGGTTAATATTTTCTAAAGCCTTACTCTCCACCTTCTACAGGTGCCTCGTCAGGGGCTTTTTCTCCTGGTGAATCCTTGCCCTCTGGGGTTTTTTCAGGGGCTTCATCATCGGCCATTTAGAATTTGGAATTTAGATTATCCGGAAATGAAAAATTGATTTTGATAATTGTCACTTTGACTGACTTTGACAGTTCCAGAAGCAGTTAACGCGGTGGTTGCAGTGATGACATAGCGACAATCGTCCTTGCAGTATTAGGCTAGCCTAGCCTTGATATAGATTATAATAATAATGATAATAATAATAATAAAAATAATAATATTGATTATTGGTCTCAATACAAAATTTTCGTATGAATAATAACGGTAGTGTCCAACAAATATAAGATACTCTAAAAAGTATACATTTCTGCTTAGGTTTTAACCGAACTTGAATTATATAAATAAAAAAAAATGTTTCTCGTATATTATTGTCAAATAACATATTCACTTTATATTTCTACAAGCTTATGGATTTGTAGTCATGGTTAATTTCAGATACATAACTTTAATTCAATTTTTAAACATTTTTTATATTTAGTATGTTTAAGGGTTTCAGGAACAACATTATGAAAATTCGAGCATAGAAAGTACGATACCTCTGGCTGATAGCTTTATTTAGTTTGGGGACAGGTGCAGATGTTTCCCTGAATCGCAATTGATGGTTGTGGCTGATATAATGTAACAATTTTGAATTTTTTGCTAAATATATTATTATATTATAAAAATATATTTACAAGTCAAAAAGCTGACATTCGCTGTAAAGATTTTCTGTGGGCTAACATTTTTTTGTTAAACATAACCTTCAAAATCCTATTCTGTGAAATTTCAATGTTTTTATAATAATTAGTCATGTCTCCCCCTCATGCTAAGATCCCATACGATTGAACAAGAGCATGATATACTAAGTGACATATAAATCCGAACACCCAGTTTAAATGGTTTTATTTTAATAAAAGTTGGTGAATGTATTTATCTTACTGTAAATAACAAGTGAAAAAATTTTCAGCCTCATCAGTTGGACATTCCGGTTTTTATACTGCTTTTTTTTAATTCACTAACGCTCTAAAAATGAATATTTCAGCCGCAGTAAAGAATCAACGTTGGCGGATTTTGGTTCTTGACATCCTTTACGATCCGTTACGATGCCTAGAGTACGGAGACCTGTACGATATCGTCAACTGAGTGAGTTTGATAGGGGCCGTATAGTGGGACTTCGGGAAGCTGGACTTTCTTTTCGGGCAATTGCAGTTAGAGTGCAAAGAAGTGTAGACACTGTGGTTAGGTGTTATCAGGCATGGCTTCGAGAAGGCCGTACGCAAAGAGCAAGGGGCACTGGACGCCGCCGTAGAACAACAGACCGTGAAGATCGCCGCCTAAGATTATTGGCCTTAAGGGACCGTTTCTCCACTACCAGGTCCATTGCAAATGAATGGTTTGCAGAACACGGAAGACCTATTGGCATGCGAAGTGTTTACCGACGAATGAGAAGTTTTGGCTTGTTTTCATACCGGCCACACTGGGTCCTCCCTTTAACTCGAGAACACCGACGTAATCGCCTTAAGTGGTGCAGACAACGGTCACTCTGGGATCAGGAATGGAACAGTATTGTCTTTAATGACGAGTCTCGATTTTGTTTAGGCATGCACGATGGTCGTGCCAGGGTTAGAAGGCGACGTGGTGAAAGGAGGAATCCACAGTTTTTTGTTGAAAGACATGTTCATCACACTGTTGGAGTTATGGTTTGGGGTGCTATAGCTTATGGTTCCAGGTCACCTTTAATCTTCATCAGAGGTAACATGAACGCGCAGCGTTATATCCACGAAGTTCTAGAACCCCATCTTTTACCCTATCTTGACACCCTGGCAGATCCAACTTTCCAACAAGATAATACCCGACCACATGTTGCAAGAGTCACAATAGACTTCTTTCAACATAATGATGTCACATTGTTACCATGGCCACCAAGATCTCCCGACTTATCCCCAATTGAGCACGTGTGGGATATGATGGGTAGGAGACTGCTCAATTTGCAACATCCTCCTCAGACTCTAGAAGCACTTCGAGAGGAGTTGGTCGTTGCCTGGAATGAGATACCACAGGAGGACATTGACCACCTGATCAGAAGCATGCCTAGGCGCGTTGGAGAATGCGTAGCACATCAGGGTGCATCCACACATTATTCAAGGTCAAAGGGCTTTAAAGTAGTGCAATCATTTTGAAATTTTTATCATTTACTTATTATGCTTCATTAAGTACTTATACAAAATTTTATTAAAATAAAACCATTTAAACTGCTACTGAAATGATTGATTTCCGTAATGAGGTATCTTAATTTCCTTATTAAACTTTTAACGTGTTTATCACATCTCATAGTATACGGTTATCTATGAATACCCCTAAATAAATAAAATACGTTTTGTTGAAGTTGCATGTTAAAATCCATTCCGTAAAAATATCTGTAACCTTTTGAAAATCCAATACAATTTTGTGTTTTAAATAAGCCCATCGTTGTCTGAATGTCTGAATGTCTTGTCGTCTGTGATACCAATACCACCATCAGTTATCAACTTGAAAAGGACATTACTATATAAGTTAAACAGGATTGGTCTTAATACGGTTCCTGGTGGAACTCCGCATGTAACTGCCATATTTTCTCTTAAACTACACTCCAAATTTTGTCACAATATTTACTGTTATACAAACAACTTTAAGTGAGTTGATAAGTGGCTCCACGAAATCCCAAATTTTCCAAGGTTTTTAATAATTTTTGATGCAGAACGCTATCAAATGCTTTGGCCAAGACTATAAAAAGATTTTCTTATTACTATGGACGTACTTGTTGGTTATTAACTGAACAAGTGTATCATCCTGAGTTGACTATGCCACCTGAAATCCGTATTGCCATTCAGATATAAGATTGTATTTTACAATAAAATTATAAAATCAAATTTTAAGAACTTTTTTGATAATTTTTTCCATACAGACATTGGGAGATAATTACAAGGTTCCTGTTTAATTCCCGATTTAAATACAGGTTTTATTATGGATTTTTTTAATTGGGTCGGAAAATATTCCTCTTTCCATGCAGGTATTTATAAGATATGCCAGTGCTTTAGAAATTTTATAATTTATTTGTTTCAGAGTGTATGGATGCATTGCATATTTGGTATATTTTTTTTGTAAGTTCGTCATTTTCTTTATATACAGCGGGAATTTTTTGGCATTTTTCAGAATAATGCGTTTTTTTATGAAACGCCGCATTTTGGGCGAACAATTTTGAAGTTTGTCAACTTATATATCAGAAACACCACTCAAATGCACAAAGATCTTTGAGGATTTTAACTCAAACAACCAGAATTTTATCTCAAAAAGTGAAAACTGATTAACTTCCATAATATCTTCACACCACTCTCCCGCCACTTGCATTCCTACCGTCTACACCCTAATTTCTTCCATTCTTATTCCATTGCATGCCGATACCTCCCCCGCTCTTTGCTTTTCAATCGCCGTTACCCCCGGCCCCGAGACGTTCATCATTCTGCTCATAAATCCTGCAACCACTAAACAGCTTCCTAAGTCCGCCACTGTGACTAAGTAACCCCTTTCCCACTCAAAGGCTTCTTCCTTCCGCCCTTGAACGCAAAAAGACAAAAGTTCTTACAGTCAACAACTCATAGAAGATTACATACGAGGTCTGTAAATTAAGGGATGAGACTGGCAACGCAGCTTTCGATTTGGCAACACTGTAATCCACCTTCAGTACATGTTTGAACTCGCTTGACTCATTTGATTGTCCATAGAGAATTTTTTTTGAAACAGTTTTTTTTATTGTTCTAAGGATAAGTGACATCAATTTCAAGCAACGGTGTGCTATCACGCGATAATGCTCCTTGTCACACAGCAATGTCAATAAACGAGTTTTTGGCCAGTAAAACGTTTCTGCAACTCTTCAGCCGCCTTGTTTATGACTTGTTTTTTTCTCCTTGAACAGCCGAAAACACTCAATTGAGGGTAGCAATATGGAATTGTAATTATATTTGAATTAATGAATTTTAAAAATCAGTGTCGTGATTTAATTTGCAGACCTCATATATCTAGATAATCAATAGTTAGCAAGAAGGTGATCACGAGGAGAATAAGAATATCATGACAACAGGTCGGGAAACGAGCTTGTGGATCAGAAGGTTGAGGACCAAATACCAAATAAGCTCAAAATCTCAACGTGATCCACACTACCAAAGCTCTTGCGAGTTTGGGGGGTAATTCAGGGGTAGGTTACTTGTGCTCCCAAGTTATGGCAGTGGTTCGAGAACCAAGAGACGATCAAAAGTCTCAAAATTATTTATCAGTTGACTTTAGATTTTATTCACAGCTATAAGAATGCTTAATTCACCAATTGGTTTCACTCAAATAGCTCTGCTTGCGAAATTATACTGAAGTGCAACTAACAGAATATACAGGGTGTCCGCAAAGTTGGGGTTTTCCTTTACACGAGGTGTAGATCTTGAGAATATAAACGGATTTTCTTAGTAGCATATATACCAGTGTCTTAAGAGAACAAATAAATTGGACTCAATCAAACCTGAACCAACCGAAGCCTTGATCCTCGATCATGTCCACACCGCCAGGGCCAGCGTACAGTTATTACCACTACGATGTAAATGCTGATTTTACGACAGAGCCGTACTTGGAATTTCAATTACTACTTAATTTATTTTTTTACTTGTCCTCTCACGTTTCACCACATATCAAGCGTAGTTGTGTCCAAAAAGCAGAACCCTAACTATGCGGGTACCCTGTATTCTTTAAGAAATCGATAACACATCCGGCACTTTTATGAAGACATTTTTGAAAATTTAAGGGCCAGATTTTAGAACTATTCCATATTTTTAAATAATCATTTAGTTGAAAATAATCTATCTATTTTTTTGTCAATCATATTTCAAAAGTGCAGAAAGAAGGTGTTCAAAATGTCGTCCTCCACTTTCCACACAAGCTTCATTACGATGAACCCAGTTTCTTCTTTACTCTAGGTCCTCGAAGTTGTCCATTTATTACTTCAGACGCATTAATTTTTTTTTTTCGCGAAGTTGTGCTTCAGTTGTTATTGGACCAGCCCCATAAGCCATCCCTTTAAGTTCTCCCCAATACCAGAAATCCATCGGATTGA